TATTGCAACATTTAAACAAATTGCAAGAAGCCTTTTCTCACTTTGGTACTGCTAATATGTATCTATGTGTACGCAGAGAGAAGACATGCCATGGTGCACTTGCTTCATCAACACACCCAGACACCTTCATGTGCCCCAGCTGCAACAAAACATGCCTCTCCTGTATTGCTCTCTACAGCCGCAGCATATTTTTTTAAAAAATCCTCCCCTGCTCTGCTTAAACAGAAGTAATAATAACACAGAACTCATCAGCACTCCAAAGGCAGCATGTAGACAGCCTCACTTCTTGCAAAGCCCACGGCCGCAGAGACATAGAAGAATACAGAGAAGTATTCTACACAGAAAAGTAGAGTACAGAAAATCCAAGCAACCTGAGGATTCAACTAGGTGTGTGTGTGCTTGTGTGTGGTTTGAATCAGGTAGAAATAAAACCTCCCAAAATGACCCCCATTCACTTCATTATTAAGCCCCGGCATAGAGCCATTGTATAACCCTAATAAATGTCTGTATGATCGTGTGTGCGTTCCATAACTTTTCATAGACTAGTTTCAGAAGAGGCTCATATTCTTATGGGATGCACTCATTTTGCCTCAGCTAGGCACCAAGTGGGAAATTAAATGCAGTGGTGCCCCGCAAGACGAATGCCTCGCAAGACGGAAAACCCGCTAGACGAAAGGGTTTTCCATTTTTGAGTTGCTTCGCAGGACGAATTTCCCTATGGGCATGCTTCGCAAGACGAAAATGTCTTGCGAGTCTTGAGATTTTTTTTTTCGCTTTTCCCCCCTTTATCTAAGCCGCTAAGCCTTTAATAGCCTTTTAGCAGCTAATCCGATAAGCTGATAAGCCTTTAATAGCCGCTAAACCGCTAATAGCGCTAATCCGTTAAGCCGCTAATAGGGTTGCTTCGCAAGACGAAAAAACCGCTAGACGAAGACTCTCGCGGAACGGATTAATTTCGTCTTGCGAGGCACCACTGTATAACACTTAAATAATCAGAGATCCAGTCTATAGCAACATACAGCATTTATACATGTGTCTAAATTTAAGTATGGCTGTATAAAACTATGGGCATGAGCTAGTGAATGGGATTGAACAAAGCTCCTTTGCCTTCATAGAAGAATCCTAAGCACATGCTTGCAGACAGTGCAGGAAAGAGAAATTATGGTCACAGCCACTGGCTTTCCCCCAATCTGCACATGTTTTGGTTTTTTTAATTAAAGATTTTCTTGTTTTACAGAAGTATATGTAATGTCTCTCGTATTTTTTCCGTGTAACATTTTTACAAATCAGTTTCATTTGTTGAGACATTGGGGGTGGGGGACAATGCCCATTTACACCACAAAGCACTTATAACCCACCTACTTTCAGCAGCCAGAAACACCATAACCAGACACTGGAGAGACCTGTCAGGAGTAAGCATGGACCAATGGTACCAAATAGTATGGGAAACAGCCCTACTAGAAAAAATAAGCAATAAACTGAAACTGACACGGGGACAAACAGAAGAAGACGCCTTTACCCCAATATGGCTCCCCTTTATCACATACACAGCCCAACAGGACAATGACAATAATCCACCAACAGCACACAAATCAATATGGCTAACCTGATCCAAAACACCCACCCACCTCACGCACACACGAAAACGAAGATCACCACAGCCAATCACAAGCAAACAATCACACCCTAGGCCAACCCCAACCTCTCTCACCACCAAAGAAACACAAATGAACAGCAGAGAACCTGCACAAGCAACGCTGACACCAAACCCTAAATACATTAAGCAAAATAGAAACATTGCCACCCGACCCCAATCTGCACATGTTGACCTGTCATAGCCCCTAAGTACTCACAAGTTGTGTGATTATGTTAAGTTGTATACTTTTTCTTGTACAAAAAGTCTTCATGTGCAGGCCTGTTTACCAATGTGTGAAGGGTGGAGTGGGTGGGGCTTGTCGCGCTCCCCCCCTTCCTACACTGACTCTTTCCCCATTCACAGCATCTGAACAAGCCTGCTCCGTCATTGATACAATGCTATAATGGAGGAGAAATGTACTGCATAATCATGACCTAAGTTGTAATACTTCAACACATTAAATAGGTTCAGTTTAAATATATGAACAAACTGATTAAGGGCAGTAAAATCTGAAGTGTGACATCAGAACTGTTCATTATAATACTTTTATGTTGTTAGATTTGAATTATTATAATAATGTGAATGTGACCTTACACCTATTAATAAACCTATCATGTTCACATCCATTTACTGATGCTGAATTTCTAAGTGCCAGATAGTGCAATTCCACTTTGATGTGCTGTAAAAATAAAATTGAAAACTGAATAATCAGAGATTATATTGAAGACTTCTAAGTCAATATATAATTAGCAGCCCACTCAGCCACACAGTCATTACCACACCAAAGAAGAAACAATACGGGGGAAATCAACACTTTTGTTCTTTACAATTAATTATACTTAATTAATTAGGTTTGGTCAAATTTGAGACTGCACTAGAGATTGGCATGCTGGACTCATATTTCAGTTACAGATAGGTAGCCGTGTTGGTCTGCCATAGTCAAAATAAAAAAAATCCTTCCAGTAGCACCTTTAAGACCAACTAAGTTAGTTCTTGGTATGAGCTTTCGTGTGCAAGCACACTTCTTCAGATACACTGAAACAGAAGTTGCCAGATCCTTCTATATAGTGAGAAGGTGGGGAGGGGTATTACTCAGAAGGGTGGTGGGAATGGGAGATTGGCAGTATTCAGTAAGTGTTTATTCATTACTCTGGTCAGGATACTGCTGAGCATTTGATCTAAAGACCTCTCTGCTGTGACACTTGTAGGCCATTTAAACACTGAATATAAATGCTGTGATTTAGTGAGTGCTGAACATTTAGACACATCAGTCTACAACAGTGTTAATTATCCATGTTTGAATACTGGAATTTTTTTTTTTAAAAGAACACAGTTGTGTTCCAAAGCTCTACAATTCACACTACCCTTTTCTTAAGAAATTTGCTTGCTGCTCCAGGTGCAGCGAAGCTGTGGGCAGTGGGGCTAAGGCATGGTGAAGTTGCAGTGAACACCATACAACTATTCTGGGGTAACAGAGGCCACTACTTTATTGATTACCAATGTCAGCTGGTTTGGCGTAGGCACTGGGCGTGTGTCCAGTATCAACCAACCCACTGCTGGTTGATTATCTGGCAGGGTTAACCAAGGTTAAAGGAGTGCTATGACCCATCAGCCCTCATCTGGGCATCTCTACAGAAGCACCTCCCCACGGATCCCCTTAATGGGATACCCTGATTCCTTGGACCGGGGTGGAGGGCTGCTCCCAACCTCCCTATATCCACCTTGACTAAGAATCCAACCCAAAGGCCTTAACAACCACCCAACTGGCGGCAATCACAAACAAGTCTAGGCCGGCAGTGCTATGGCTGCACCAGACCACAACTACTGCCTCCCTCCAGTAGCCAGGAAGTGGTCCTTTCCTCATTGTATTTCCATTCTGTATAGGATGAAATGTATAGCTTTGCTCTTCCTTCCCCCATCTTCCTTCCCCCATCCTGATCAGCCACAGCAGGCGTATTTACATCACTGATCTCCAGATTTATGGCTTGTGAGGCCTTATGTGCAACCCTTTGGGGGGACGCTATTTGTTCACCTATAGAAATAGGACAATGTCAAAATTAGGAGTGTATAAGGAGATGATGATAATAATGATGAAATAAAGGGGAAAGGAGATGACAATGATGCCTCTGAACTGGGCTCTCCACCTCCCGCTCCCATGTGTCGGGCATTGGAATAAACTTTGCTATATGTGGCATGCAGCCAAAACAAGAAAGGGCTGCCATATCCTGCCCTCACCATCCCATTCAGCTGTGTCCCCCCGCTTATGTAGTTGCTTGCTCCACATGCCAGCAGGAAGCAAAACAAACACAGCAGCAATTGGATGAATCCCACAAAATGAGCAACTTGTTACGGTGTAATTCAGCAGTTTCGCAATGGAGTTTCCCTGTGAAGATTGTTTAAGAATGCCTACTTTAAGGTCATTAAGAGTGACCTGGGAGATTTTCAATAGGTACTGGTTTCTGAAGCCACACCATTAGCCAGAAAAGTCAGCCTTCTGCCTGACTCGTGAGCAGCATGTAATAAAAAGATCCTCCTTATTTCCCCTCCTTAATTCCATCTCTTTATCTCTGATGACCTTCCCTAAGATTGCTCTGGCCAGGCCCTCTGGAGTAGGTTTCCAGGAGCTTTGTTTCTGTAAAACCAGGGGGTCTCAGACATTACAAGCCTAGCATTGCCCCATTCAGATTTAAGGCCAGTTAGAGATAGCTAAGGGGAGCTGAACAATGTGGGGTGGTCTAGCAACCTTTGGGGAAAGCAGAGATCAGGCATCCATATGCCTTATCCAAAATCACATGAAACCTGTGTTGCAGCATGAGCAGAAAAACAAAGAACAGCTTCAAGAATAGATAAAAAGATCCCAACTAAGCAACATTTTCTTCAGAGACATTTAAACACTAAGATCAAAGACATTGCTTAGTATAGTTATTAAATTATAGGGAACCTAGACTGTTTTTCAAGTGTGGTATTCGCAATGGAATTTCAAATGTGTGGGGGTTTTTTTGCCACGGTTTGATGTGCTAAGAAGTTTTGTATTCATATCTTATGACTTCAGACATCCTGAGCAACTCACTTATTTTAAAAAGGAGAGGAAAGGCTTAGAAGAAGACATTACCATACTTACTTGCAAGGTAATTGTGATGTGAAACAAACAGCATTCATAATGCTTCTTTGTATTTGACATGTGTTTTCCATAGGCTAGAGCAAAGGGAGGGTTGGGTAAGTGAAATATTTGCGAATTAAATAGTCTTCTAAGTATCATGAGCATTTTGCGAAACGACACAATAATTGATAATTGTATCTTCTTTGTTTCCACAGTCAAAATGAACTAATTTTGGCAGAGTAGATACCAGGCACAATAGTGACCCTTGTATTTATTTTTATTTGCAAAAGCCGCAATCTCTCAAAATCCATGGGAAAAAATATTGCAGAGGTCAGCAGAAAGGTATCCAAGGGTGGTAATATCCATGGCCCCACTCTCTCCCTGGCATGTTCATTAATAAATATATTAGCATTGAAAAATATGTGAAGATCCTTCCCACATGATCGTTAACAGTAGATCACCCAGTGTTGGTGCTGAGCAGATAGTTTATCTGGGTCAGACCCTGAGGTGGCCTTGGTCTGCCCACCTCCCTCTCTCAGCTCTGGAATCCTTCTCACAGAGTGGTTGATGGTTGATCGCGCTGGTTTTGTCTGTGTGTTTTTGCAAGAAACCTGGAAGATGCTGGGGTGCCTAATTCTCAGTCCCAGTGAAAAAACATCAAACTTGGATGCAGACAGAGATAAGGTGGATGATCAACTCAATTAGTTCTGTGGGTGGTCCTTGCATTGTATCTGCACAAGGAGGAGCTACATCAATAGGGAAGCCTGAAGGTAAAAAGGTAAAGGTAAAGGACCCCTGGAAAGTTAAGTCCAGTCAAAGGCGACTATGGGGTTGCGGCACTCATCTTACTTCAGGCCGAGGGAACTGGCATTTGTCCACAGACAGCTTTCTGAGACATGTGGCCAGCATGACTAAACTGCTTCTGGCACAATGGGACATTGTGATGGAAGCCAGAGCACACAGAAACACTGTTTACCTTCTTCCACAGCAGTACCTATTTATCTACTTGCACTGGCGTGCTTTCGAACTGCTAGGTTGGCAGGAGCTGGGACAGAGCAACAGGAGCTCACTCCGTCCCGGAGATTCAAACTGCCGACCTTCCAACTGCCAAGCCCAAGAGGCTCAGTGGTTTAGACCACAGCGCCACCCACGTCCCTAGGTGTCACATTTAGCACTTCTCCCACACAAGACACGGAACGCTGGCAGTATAAGTAGCTGAGGTTTATTTCTCAATAACAGGCTTACAGCAGTCCAAGCTTCCACAACTCATCTTTCGCTGTTGGAGTCAGTTGACTCGACTGGCTTCTGACCCCTCCCAAGGCCAGATATATACCACGTCCTTCCCCGCCTCCTGCTGGCCCACCTCTGCTCTAATCGCTTGCTCCGCCTCCTACTTCTTGGCGACTCAGGTGCAGCCAATTCCTCCTCCTCTGGAGGTGGAGACTCAGGTGCAGCCAACTCCTCCTCCTCTGGAGATTCCTCTCTGCTGGGCATGTCCCTAACACTAGGGAAGCCTGAAGGGTATGGGCATACAACAACCTCCTTGCCAATCAGCTGGCCTTTAAGCCACATACTGCTTCTGCATCCTCGTAGTTGGTCCATCCCATCACCCAGACCTACCTCTCCTTCCACAGCAAGCTGACCAAGAGCCCTTCTTCACTAGAATTTGATTTAGTCTAAATGCTGTGGTCTAACTGCTGATCACCGAAGAATTGATGCTTTTGAATTATGGTGCTGGAGGAGACTCTTGAGAGTCCCATGGACTGCAAGAAGATCAAACCTATCCATTCTTAAGGAAATCAGCCCTGAGTGCTCACTGGAAGGACAGATCCTGAAGCCGAGGCTCCAATACTTTGGCCACCTCATGAGAAGAGAAGACTCCCTGGAAAAGACCCTGATGTTGGGAAAGATTGAGGGCACAAGGAGAAGGGCACAACAGAGGACGAGATGGTTGGACAGTGTTCTCGAAGCTACTAACATGAATCTGACTAAACTGCAGGAGACAGTGGAAGATAGGAGTGCCTGGCGTGCTCTGGTCCATGGGGTTATGAAGAGTCAGACATGACTAAACGACTAAACAACAACAACAAATGCTGTAGATTGTTCCAGGTTGTTCCAGATTACTATATTCTATTCATCATGGCTTAAATGTGCATCTCCAGTGAATGAACAATGGTATAGCCATCTCTTTGAATGAAATACATCATCCAAAGCTTTGGAGGGGCACACAGGTCAGTTTTAGAGTGCATGCTTTAAAGGCAGAAGTTCTCAAATTTAATCTGTGATATCTCCAATTAAACGGCTCAGGTGATAGGTAAAAATTATGCCAGAGTCCCTGGACTACAACTTCCAGTCAGAGGTGAAAGCAGTCAGTCTGACCTGGTGTAAGTCAGCATCCCATGTTCCTAATTATTATGATTCTATTAATTTTAGTAAATGGTTCTGTTGTTTCTTGAACAAATTGTCAAGATCCTGGTAATATGAAATCTTTATAAAGTATCGAAATGTTTCATTAGGCCAATTGACCAGAAACCAATGATGTGCAAAAAACATAGATTTAACATGACACCAACCAGTAATATGGAAAAGTCTTGCTTTATCATTGTGCTACCAACTGCTTTTAATATCCCAATTATGTATTGTAATTTCACCACAATGCAGAATAATTTAAAATCCCCATTCATAAGGGCTCCAATAATAATTTAATTCAGTTCAGATTAGCTTTGCTTTGGCAGCAACTCTCGTTCAAAAAATAATCTAAGATCATGGGTTGCAAATATAGTTTTGCTGTTAATCAGAAACTGTTTGACAGCTCAAGGAAGATCATTCTGACTATATTTTTTGTCGCAGTTATAAACTGTGCCTCAACTCCAGCATTTAAGAAAAGTTACCAAAACCCAGGTTTATCCAGCTCAGTGCACAAATTATTGCACTGATAGTGCCTCATGGCACTTTCACTATCCACTCACTGTGGTCCATTGAATTGGTCATCATAAACCAGAGGCCATCAATCTGTTTTAGCCAGTAGGCCATTCTGCAAACCAGAGAAACAGTTGTGGGTACCACACACTGGGCTGTATCCAATGCTAGTCCAACCCATTAAAATTAGCAAACCTAAGTTAGTCATCTTCATTAATTTCACTGGGTCTGCTCTTAGTAGAACTAGCATGAGATACGGCCCATACACAGCAACAAGGCACACACTACAACCTATTCCAGTGGCTACAATAGAATTACAGGGGGGAGGTGGCCCTGTGGGTACCAGGAAGGGCCTCTTTGGGCACAGGTGAGCCTGCTGGGTCAGGCCAGTGGTTCAGCTAGTCCCACATCCTGGTCTCACAGTGGCTGTCTATGGGAAGATCCTGTGGGAAGTCTACAAGCTGAACATGAGCACAACAGCACTTGGGTTACTATGGGTCCCATGGGTTACTAGGAGCCTCTGTGGCAGGCAGGCTGGCATATGTGCTTTGCACAGATTAGCAAGGGAACCCAGAACCCCAGGCTCCTTTGGGAGGAGGAGCAGGCTATGAATGGAATGGCTGATCCGAATAAAAAGCCCTGGCCATGACAGGGTGGTCACAGGCCTTCATGCAATTCATTTTCATTACAGTGGTACCTTGGTTTAAGAACAGTCCTGTTTAAGAATGAACTCCGCAAAACCGGAAATAGTGTCCCGGTTTGAGAACTTTACCTCAGTCTAAGAACAGAATCCGAACAGTGGAAGGACATCAGCAACAGGAGGCCTCATTAGGGAAAGTGCACCTCGGTTTAAGAACGGTTTCGGTTTAAGAACGGACTTCTGGAAAGGATTAAGTTCGTAAATTGAGGTACCACTGTACCTGCCTTTATTAAAAGTGTCCAAATGGCCCTAATAATCTGGTGGTCATTGTTGCTAAATAAGCATTTCTAGCAGATGTTTATAACTGTAAAGACTTTGTGTACTTTGCTCCCATAAAAATGCACCAGAGAATTTAAATGTAGTATTTTAAAAAATGTAAAAACTAATAGTACCTTTTCCATGCAATGCATGTGTTCTGCAGCTGAACACAGTGTCCCTAACCTGATTCTTCAGACTGGCTGCTGCCCGTCTCCCTATGCTTGCTTCATTTTTCTTTACTTTTTAGGAAATATACTACACTGTGAGGCTTATGAACCATTCTTTAAAGGTGACTCATAAAAGCTTTGTGTGTGTTCTTCACTGTAAAGTCTTGGTCCTTTCCCTCTGGGAAATGCATTTCTCTAGAAGGTGCTTTTGGTGACAATGTCTTCAGATGGATTGTTACAGATAGCGAAGGACCTGATGAAAAATTCATGCTGCTTTAAGCTTGCATTCCCAGGTCCTTCATTCACCAGAGGCCTATGCTGCTGACCAGCAGATGGAGACACAGTATACCTCTTTGAAGGTGAGGCTCCATGTACAGGTGAAGTTTGACTCTTGAGCTTTTACTAGTTTTTGTCTGTCTAACAGGTCAAACTGGTAAGCCAGGTTCAACTCCATTTTTATTCTTCCAGGTGTCTCAAACTGCAATGGCTGTTTTTAGTTATAATTCCATGACTCATTTGAGAGGTGTTGTTTCTTTTTTAATTATTATTCTTTTTCAACTTCCTTTTGTCAGATGCCTAGGCCTTTTCATGCACGAAGTTTAGAGCTGAGCAGCTTCAACAAAACCTAACAAATAATTCGATACAGCAGCTGCCTTGGGGGGCACCTCGCAGTCAATAATAACTCAAAAGGTGTTATTGGCAAGTGAGATCAGGTTTCTAAATGAGTTAAGGGTAGCCAAATTCTGTGCAATTGCCATAAAACTTAGGGAGCACGCTGTGCTATCATATTGATTAATGTTTTAAATGATAATTTTAGGTTATATGTTAGTGACTAAGTTTTAATTTATATATTTTTAATTGTTGATATATATCTGTATTGTCCCTGTTATAGGTAAAGGTAAAGGGACCCCTGACCATTAGGTCCAGTCGTGACCAACTCTGGGGTTGCGGCACTCATCTCGCTTTACTGGCCGAGGGAGCCGGCGTACAGCTTCCGGGTCATGTGGCCAGCATGACTAAGCCACTTCAGACGAACCAGAGCAGCGCACGGAAACGCTATTTACCTTCCCGCAGGAGCAGTACCTATTTATCTACTTGCACTTTGACGTGCTTTCGAACTGCTAGGTTGGCAGGAGCAGGGACCGAGCAACGGGAGCTCACCCCGTCGCGGGGATTCGAACTGCCGACCTTCTGCCACTGATGCCTGTTCTTAAATCCTGGAGCAATGGCTGTAAAGCATCTACTTGTCAGTGGCGGCTCCAGGCTTTGGTGGTCCTTAGGAAAGTGTCAGACTCGAGGGATTCTCTCCTTCCCCGGTAGCCTCCAGGATCAAAGAAGAAACAAGAAAGTTCATATCTATGGTTTTATTCAGCAGTCATGGAGCAAGGCAACGAAGCTAGTCCTGGATGCCATGGTGACGTTGCTCACTCTGAGCCCCTCCCTTCCTTCCCCAGCAGCACCCTGTATCCCTACGGGAGGTCTCAAGAATCAAACGTTGTTGCACTCTTTGTTGTTGAATTCTAAGTGACCGGCGAATCCATGGAGAGGGGGGAGTTCCCAGGCTCTCCAAGGATGTGTCTGTCAGGAGTTCAGCCTACACTCGAGTAGGACCCTGGCAGAGACACATGCCCAACTGGCATGTACTCTCCCTCCTGGTCGATCGTTCAGGAACTTCATAAGCTTTCTTCAGCCAGAACATCAAAGTGACTGATGCCAACAGACACCAGGATGCGCAGAGTTTGCGCACCTTGCGTGACAGACCTTAGCAACTCAGCATTTTGGCTAATCTACTTTATTTACATATAAAGACACACGGAGCACTGCAACATGGCTCCCTCTCTCTCTAGCATCAGACAGCAAAGAGAAAAAGGACAAAGGACAATAGTTCCACTTCACGGAACACAGTAATACAAACATCCTGTCTCCGTCACTTCCCACTCTGTGGAGTCAAAACATATACCGTCATGTGATAGACAAAAATCCTATGACTGCAATCATGGAGCAGGAATTCTAACAGTGTCTGCTATCAGTTCTCCAACTCCCCCTCCTTCTCCCAATACCTCATAACTTGGCAGTTCACTGTCCTGTTGTAATTCAATCCTGTCTCCTTCTCCTCTTGCAGCTACTGGAGAATGGGGGGGGGTGTGATTCTTCCCCTTCCCCCTCTGAAGGAAGCAGAGGGGAAGGAGGGGGCAATTCCCAGCCATCCTCTTCAGTCCAGTCCCTGACATCAAGTTACCTTCAGGGTGCCCATTGCCTGAGTGGGGCTACCTCCTCCTTGCTTCCATCCCCACTGCCCATTCACATTCTTCCTCCATTTGGATTCAATCCACAGAAACGCCCAGCGGGAAATCACGAGGCAAATCCCTTTCCTCACACTTGTCACTTTTAGGATCCTAGAAAGCTGCCTTACACCGAGCCAGATCTGTGGTCCATCTACCTCAGTATCGTCTACACAAGGGTCTCTCTTAAAGGCAGGCTTCTCAGGACAGTTTATCCATTTTGTAGCTCTGTCTACATATAGGAAATGAAAGGGTTAACTAACTGGGCTGCCCCCTTGCAAGCCGAATGTTTGCTCTGCTGAAGTTTCCAGGTTTTTATCTGTAGCAATGTGTGCATTTCAATACTAAAAGGACCACTTTTATTAGGATACAGCAGTTGTGCCATTTGCTGCTACAAATGTACAAAAGCTCTAATTCTAATAAATAATTTACGATTATTAAAAATGCTTTTAGCCAGTGGATATGTTGGTCCATCAGGTAAACAGACGTAAGGTGCCCATCACAACTTTCAGAAGACATATTATTAATCCAGGCACATCTGATGAAGTCATTATAGTCTCTTAGGTAAATCCTCTACTTTGCTCGTTGATCAGTGACCCTGAAAATAACATTAAAGGACACACTGCATGCTCTCCATCTACTTTCTAGGAATTCTTGTAGGCTATTAATGGAAACATGATGGTGACCGTTTATTTTAAAAACCCACAGGGCCAAACAAAACATTCTGAATTCAGGCTTTACATTCTTCAGAATGCAGCAATAGACAGCGTGTATGTTCTGTACACTATTGGCGCCCATCCCCTGCCCCCTGCAAAAAAAAAAAAACCGCCAAAAGAACTGCAAGAGAAACTTATTGACTCTTGTGTGCACCTCTTAGTTTTTATTCCTTGGTTGCTAAGCCATACTATGAATTCATTGCTGAATTCATTTCAGGGTAGTTGACACGCTAGCCCAGGCATGGCCAAACTTGGCCCTCCAGATGTTTTGGGACTACAACTCCCATCATCACTAGCTAACAGGACCAGTGGTCAGGGATGATGGGAATTGTAGTCCCAAAACTTCTGGAGGGCCAAGTTTGGCCATGCCTGCGCTTGCTCAATAATTCAGAAAATCATTCCTCAAACAACCTGTTTTATAGCCTTGTATGAATCACTAGCAAACATCACCAGACACCATGAGGGTGGCATCCTCTGTGTGCCAAGTGGGACACCTTTTTCCTTTTAACTCACATGCAACATTAATAGAGTTGTGATTGACTACAACTAAGTAGCAGGGCAATGTGTATTTGTTAATAGAGTTGGTTCCATTGTGGCCAGAATTCATTTTGCACTGCTCATGTAAATGATTTTGTACACTCACCTACCCACACATTCAAAGTGCGCCTTTCAGCTCCTCCTAGATATTCGTAAAGCACATTACGCTGGGAGTGTGGGGAATAGAGCTACATTCATTCAAACCACCCCAAACTCAGCACAACTACCTTGAACTACATTCATACATGTGCTCCCACATGCAGACTGAGCTCTTTCTCATGTTGCTGCTTCCATCAAAATAAACGGGGGTGCATGATGGGCACTGTTCCTGCAAGGTACAAAATTGCGGAGTCATGGTGACAGGGTCCATCAGTGGCATAGTGAAGGGGGGCACAGGGATGGTTGCCCTGGGCTCAGAATGGTTAGGGGTGCAAAATTTCAACACCCGGTGCTGCCTCAATACAGCTGCACACTTTAGTCACTGGGCTCCATTGAAAACAGCTTCTCCATGTGAACCAGGAAGTGATCTCTCCAGACAATAGCTGTGTTCTCCTGGGTGATGTGGATACCGCTTGGCAGTTGAATGTGCGTGCATACTCCATCTGTTTCCCTCCCACCCACCACCCTCCATGTGGCCCCGGGCACTGGCAACCCACGCTACACCACTGGGGTCCATTGTAATGTTCCATGCTAGGTAATAGCATACTTAGCCAGAGCTGTGTTTTTCTAGTACAGTTCAGGAATTGTTTTCGGAAGAATACCAGACTGGTGATTTCAACTTGGTCCAGATATTGAGGGCATTTATCTATATTTTCACCCCCTTGCGAGCCAGTGCAGGAATTGATTCGTTTTCTAACACCACCCTTGTGGGTAGCAATGCATTAACAAAAGAGGTTGACCTTTATGACACTGCCATCATTTTGGCCCTCTTAGTTCCACAGCTGCAAGTTTAGTTACAATGAAACATGCATACGGAACTCGCCATGGAACTCGTAGTCAAAAACTTGTTGTTGTCAATTATTTAGCATTCCCATAAACCATTAGGGGTCGTCAAAAATATCTTTAATTGATTCCATCTCTACCTACACTACTTATTATTTATTACTATAACAAACTTCTCCATGGGAACAGCTAATTGTACCTCCCCAGTGGCCACTTCAAGTGGAATAAGCATTGCACGCTGCTTCCTAAGATACAGCTGAAAGGTCTTCAGCGTTTGGGATTTGATTAAAACTGTATTACATGTACACATCAGCAACCGCTGCCAAAACAAAACACTAATTTAAAGAAGTCCTTCTGCTATAGAGCTTAATACATTTTTTAAACAGAAAAAAAAGAAAATAACTTTGCATGTGTCAAAAATGGGAAGGGGTTTTTTTTATCCCCTCTAGGGAATAATTCTGTAATTGGAATAATATGGTATTCTCTGGAACAACAAGCAGCCATAGAGCAAACTTCCCCAGTAGCACTGAGAGTGGTCTTCCATCTGACATACATGTAGCACCCAAGGCGAACCACTGAGGTTTTAATTGCACATTTTGTGTGTGTTCTGGTGTGTTGTCTTTAAAAAAAAACACACACCAGAAAAAGCTTAATTGTTAATCTGTTCTATAATAGGAAAGACAGATGTTATGTAAATAACGAGCAACATTCAGAGTGAATTGTTTTGTGAAGAAAGGTTTCGTCTGCAATGCTTCCAAAAGGGTGATTTTGGCAATAAAGTATTCATTTATATGTTTTCCAAGCATGCAGGTGAGTTCCCGATGAGAAATTAAAATGACAGAATTGTCATTTCACCTAATATTTTCACAAAAAAATGAAGCAGCTCTAAGCAATCAGTTCAAGAATCAAGATGGTGGTTACAAAATGTTATATGTTATTTGCCTGATTTGTTGTTGTTTTTTAAATGAAGCAATTCCTTATCAAGGCACAGGAAACAATGGTCAATATAAGATTGTGTCTGATGTTTCATTTACATTTTTTATTTTAAAATTCACAGGTGGCGAGAAGAGACAAAATAAAACACTTCTGAAACAAAATCTGGAAAACATTATTAAAGTGTTTAGGATCGGATGTCTAGACACACCAACTATTTCTCTGTTGGGTCCCTGAGAAAGCCTCAGAAATGGCAGACTTGAAAACCTGATGCTTTTGAAAAGCCAGCATACAGTGGCTCAATGTACACATATGGCAAAAGTACTCCCTGCTTCGTCCCAGAGTTCTCCCTGTCCTGCCTCTCCAGAAAATTTTAACAACATTACCCCTTCCATCAGATGGAGTACAATTACTTGGGAAGCTCTGCTACACAAGTTTCAACAAGACAAATGGGAACAGCGTAAGACCTCGATACCATACATACAGATGTACAAACATGTCCCAATCTGTTCCAATAGTCATTTGTACTTTCACATGCCATTTTCTACTCTGCTTCAGTTTGGACAAGTCGGTTTCCCGTTTCATGGTGTGCTGATGCAGAAAGACACGCATGCTTTAACATATTTTTTTACATAGCATGTATATCTCAGCCGTCAACAGATTCATTACCTCTCCATATTGTAGAGTTGGAAGGGTCATCTAGTCCAACCCCCTGCAATGCAGGAATATTTTGCCCAACATGGGGCTTGAACCCACAACCCTGAGATTAGTAGTCTCATGCTCTACTGACTGAGCTATCCCAGCGGTCCATATATATCACCTTCCCTATACGTTCTTTTTCAAAGTTAATTAATTTCCAACTAACTTAGTTGGTCTCTAAGGTGCCAGTGGAAGGATTTTTTTTATTTAATTTCCAGTAGGATAGCCTGGCTAGTCTTATGCAGTAGCAACAGCAAAGAGCCTTGAAACACCTTAAGGACATAGGTAATGAAGTGGCTAATGGTGAACCACAAAGCCATCTGTGGCTGAAAACCACACTATGCCTACTCAGAAGTAAGTCCTATTGAATTCACTGCTTCTAGATCCACCTTTCCCAATTCCAACAGGAGCGCTACAGTTACTGGGAGAAGCTGGACATAACACGGTGCTTACATAGAAGTGGGACTTCTAATATTTAGTATTAAATGTATTTCTGCAAATTGAACAGCTATGGATTTGTGTACATGGATGGGTATTTACCCTTTGGGGAGAATTTGCTTTCAAATAATACTTGGAATTTCAAACACAGAACATGAACTAGCCAGGAATAGTCTTATTTCCTCCCTGTGCCAATTTTCACTTGTGTTCGGTCCTAAGTCTGTGCCATTCTGTTTTTGTATCAGTATGCAAGGGAAAAGGGAAAGGAAAGGAAAATTCACATTATTATTCAAAGTAGAATCATAGAATTGTAGAGCTGGAAGGGAACACCAGGGTCACCTAGTCCAACCCCAAGCAATTTTTTGCCCAACTTGGGGCTCGAACCCACGACCTTGAGATTAAAGAATCTCATGCTCTACCAACTGAGCTAAAGCTTTACACAACATATGTGCTTAACTCTCAAATATGCCTTTTTGTATACATTTTATCCTAAAATATACATTTTGGCAAGCATTTTAATCTAAAGGATGCATATTTTTCACAGTTTGTTAAGTTTTATTGAGCCAAAAACTGCCACAAGATTTAGAGAAGTGTTAAAACTGAGGTGAGAATCGGGCCAATTCACTAAGAAAAATGGAGACTGAATGAAATCCTCAAACATCTCTGACAGTAACCGAGGTTCGTTTTTGTTATTTTTATTATTTTATGTGCCAATTAGGATATATATATATATATATATACAGATATACAAATCTCCTCTTATAGTTTCTTCTACTCTTTAACCTTGAAAATTCAGGAAAAGGGTTTTTAAAAAGTAAGCTCCATTATCACAGCATCAGCAACTACAATTGCAGTCTGATCAGAAATGACATCACTGAGGTTTCATTAGCGATACTACTTCTATTTTTAATTTATTTTTGTAACATTAAAGAAAAGCTCTCTCTGGCTTTTTCTACCAGCATCAAGGTTGAATCTCACACAGAACAACCTTCTCCATTAAAATAAGAACAAAAAGCAACAACACAATATAGATAATGAAAAAACAATCTAGAAGTAGCAGCACAACATTTCCCCCTTTACATTCAAAGAAATTCAGGCAAAATATCGCCTGCATGTCTTTTATTATAATTATAATTTTCAAAATTCAACCTTAATGCAATATTTTAAGAGTCAAAATTCTGGAGTTGTCTGCACAGAGCTATATATATTTAATAGTTCGTTTCAGTATCAAAATATTAGTATCTGATCTCTCAGTTGGCATTTTAAAACAAGCAACATGTTAACAACTTGTCTGTGTTTACATCTAGTGCATCTACCTATTAGCACCCAAAAATTGATGGGATGCAGAAGAACCACTTCAGATTTCAGGAGTCACACACAGCAGGCTAAATTTCAGTGTATGTGTTTTGTGCAGGAGTATCTGTGCAAAATTCATCCGCATTCATTATCTTTAATCTTTGTTGAGACTCACCATCTTGAGCACCTTACTAGTAGGTGAAAAGGTGCAGTATAAATATTTTAAACAAGCAAACTTTCAGCGATTTACCATGGAATTCTATACACATCTACTCAGAAATAAATCCCATTGGGTTTAATGGGGCTTACTCCCAGGAAAGGGTTACAAGACTAGTGGACAGACTTACAGTACAGAAACAGTAAAGACATCTCAAGCAGCACGTATGCCACCCCAGTAATCAATACCACAAAACTGAAGATTCTTGCTTCCAGTTTATCATTTATTATTATTTATTTGAGGCATTTGTAACCCACGCTTCACTCAAGGGTCCCAGAGCGACACACAATAACACTAAAATAACAATTAACAATCACAATTTAAAATGAAATGACTCAAACAACTTGAAATAAAACAGGTGTCAGAAGTGAAAATAAAATATCACTGTGCACTTCGTCCTTATCCAAAAGCCTGGGCAAAGCAGTGTACCTTTACTTATTATTTGATTTAAAATGATGCATCAGCATAACACATCTCAGAGAGGAGGCTATTCCAGAGCTGTGGGGCCACCACAGAGAAAGCCCTGCACTGCAAACCTTGGCAGCCCTCGCCTACAAACTTCACTCTGTGATGGGATCACCAGCAAAACTTCCTGAATATGCTTCTGAATACGGAATAAGATTGTGTAATCCATTTTCATATATGGCATAAGAATCAGAGATTCAAAGAAACAGGATAAATGGGATTAACTAACAGTGTTGGCTTATATTTTTCTGACTTTTAGGTCTTTTGGGAAATGCATTATTGTATCTCCACAAATTATTGTGATTTACACATATTCTGGATAAACTGTGCTCTGTGTAGTGCAATAATATGCATGTTTACTGAAAACCAATGGGATTTTCTCCCCAAGTAAGCATGCAAAACATTGCAGTCTTAGTTAGTCACTTAACTATGGCTCAAAATCGCATTATTTTCCCCTGAATTCCATCGATTTTAATAAATTATATGCAGACCTTTTTTAGCTCATTAATAGAGTCACTGAGAATCAAACAAGTGACTCATTTAGCCATTGAATCCTCTTCTTTTTACTTTTCCTTCTCGCTTTTCTTTAACTTAGAATTATGTTGTGATCTGAAAGACGGCTGAGAATAGAAAAAAAAGTGCTACACTAGTTTGTTTATCACAGTTATCGGTGTACTTGTCTCTGAGTAATTTCCTGTGCCAACAGAAAGGAAGTGTACTATTAATAGATAGAAAGTGCATGTTTTGGAGTCCCTACAACTGAATTTATTATTTGTTTTGAACAAATGAAGTTGCTGTGCACTTGGGAGGAAGACAAATACTAGAATATCCAGATGTACTATAGAAGCAATATTTGCCATTAATACCAAGCCTTCAATAGCCATTCCACTGTTACTTTATAAGGTTGCATTATTTTTTTTTGTTTATTTAATTTTCCAACTTTTAAATGATACATCATACTTCATAAACCATAGTCAAAAAGTGCAATAATCAACCCAAACTGCATCCCTCTATAATTCCTAATAAAGAACCTTAATTTATAAAATTGTAAAGTTCTCCTGGGATTGAGTGTTCCAATGTTCTACAAATAAGTTCCATTTCTCCACAAAGTTCCTCCCTCCCAGTTTCTTGTACCTCTCAAAATCTTACAAGATGTGAAAGCTTCTCTATAGAAACTCTACTCAGCCACTCTTTTCTCCTTGAACTAAGAAGTAATAATACTTTGTACACAACTTATAATAAGGCCATTGCTATGTTTGTGATTTCATATCCAATCCCATTCATCCAGGTTAATTGTGCAGATATTAGCTAATGAATAATGAGCACACACAGAACAATCAATAAAGCAGTTCTGGAAAATGCAGTTTCTCAAACGACAGTGCTGAACCAAGGGGCAGAAATACTACCTGTCAGAGCTTTCCATGTAATGAAAATGCATGGACAAACAAAATTCCTTATACTGTGTAAGGCATTGGTCCACATAGGCTTGTATTGTCTTCTCCAAGAGTAACCAACATGGTGCCCTCTACATTGAACCACAACACCCATCAGTTGCTGCCAGCATGGCTAAAATTCTGGGATTATTGGGCTTTTAGTTCCCCAAAACCTGGAGAGCAGCTGCATGAAACTGGAAGCAACTTCCTCACATGTTAAAAGTTTGTGATTTTTTAGTTTTTTTGTCAGTTGATGTCTAGGTATAATCAATGCACAAATTCCATAACAAATGTCAGGTAATAATTTTTAAAACAAGAGGTATAGAATCAATCCTATACTTCGACCCTTCTATAAGGACCCTTCTTCATCTGTTCATAGATGTGCAGAAAATAATTGGGTTGGGGTTTTTTGAGTGAGGACACAATGACACTCTGCACATGCACAATGGCACATTTCCCTAAATAAGTGCTGGAGAAGTCCTACTGTGATGAAAACAGCCAGGTTAAAACTTGCAGCCCTGTCAAATAAAAACGTTACCAGCTGCCACTGGTTAGCATGACCCCACAAAAGCTTCCAATTGTGCTCAAGTGACGTAAAGAGGAGGCCACACAGAGGATGCACAACCAAAACAACTTTAGTGCAAAACAGTTTATGGAGGGGGAAAGAACATTTGCAGGAAACTGCTGCTTGTAATGCAGAACTGAAACTAAAAGGACAGCGTCTCAGAGCTGACTCGGGCAGCTCCTGGCATGGCAAGCCAGCATACAGCCTAGAGTATACAGAAAGGTGAATTTAAATGAGCCATGCAACATATAAGAGAATGGCTTTGTGGTACTGCTAGTGCATGTTATTTCATTTAATCCTAGATACCTCTCCTGTGGTTGTATTGTTGTCACTCCAGAGATCTGTCTCTTGGGGATTCATTTAAACAGCCCCGTCTGCACTACACATTGAAAGCAGTGTCATACCACTTTTGAAAGTCGTGGTTTTCCCCAAAGAATTCTGGGAACAGTAGTTTGTTAAGGGTGCTAAGAGTTGCTAGGTTATCTCCTATGTCCCTCAGAGAGCTGCCATTTACATCCGATGGAACTCTGAAAACTGTCCTAAACAACTCTCAGCATCCTTAACAAATTACAGTTCCCATAATCCTCTGGGGGAAACCATGACTTTTTTAAAGTGGTGTGATGCTACTTTCAATGTATGGTACAGATGGGGGCCTCTGTGAGAGAAAGGATTACTAACTTACAGAATCTCATAACCAGACTGTCAGCCAGTACACATTAGACAGCTCCTGTCTGGGTCTACACAAACACTCACTTATACATTACAGTGATAAGTTCTAGGTCACACAACATCACAATTCAGTTTGGCCTTTGTCTTGAAATTATGTACATTTTCCTTCAGAGGACCCAAATCCCCATCTTCCTTGCTGTCTGTAATGATAAGAATTTCAAGGAGCCCTGACCAGCTGTGCCTTTCTTTGAACTGTGTAGTTCAAAGGCAGACTTTGGGCTTTAAAATTTCAGTGGCACCCTGCGAGACGCCAAAATTTGGCTCCCCCCTCCCCACGTCTCTCACCTTTGGCATTGTTGCAGCACCCACTGTGGCACCCTCTCAGCTTGGCGCCCAGTGTGGGCACCCTTAATTCCACCTTTGTGAGTGTTAACTGCCTGGGATCTTAACTCACCCTCAGCTTCAACTGACAAGACTCAAAAAGGAGATTCAGGAGTAATTGCACTCTGGAAACAAAGAAAAGGTATGTAATAATCTTTGAATAATGGCATGAAGAGTTTTGAAGGATTAAATGACAATCCTATTCCCGAATTAAATGTCCTATTCATCAATAAGCTTTATGGCATGCAACTTTCGGGCAATTCTTCAACTGTTAAAGAGCTTAGTAATCATTTTATCACTTACCTCCTCAGCTACCTCAGTTCTGTCACTCTGTTCTAGAATTTCGTCCCTCGCTCTTTTCAAATTCCCACCCAAATTCCAGACCCTTGGTTGGTTTACAGGGATGCTGGCTACTTAAATAGGCCACAAGCATATTTCAGAGGACACAGGGGCTCACAATTGATGCTTTTAGGTGCTGACAGGCTCCGGCAGCTGCTATGCCAGGCACTTGTTGCTAGGCAACAAGTTCTGTAATATCTTCATAAGTTCTGAAGAGTTTAAAAGACCTGCAGGAACAGGCCTGTTCTCCTGTGCTATCACAATGCCCATCAACATTAGGGCAGGTGTGCAATACTTGCCACGGCGGACTTAGCAAAATGAGGCCACAAGAGACTTAAGAGTAGAACAAACAGAATTTGGAACGTTTACTGCTGTTGAATCCAAATAGCTACCGCCGTCAGGTTTCAGTTCCATGCTTGGTGTTCATTCACACAATAAACAATCACGTGGAGGAAGAGAGTGAGGCATGTTCAGGGTTTGAAACCGTTCAGGGGTCTGTCAGGGACACCACAGCCGAGTTGTGCAGACCAGCTCTCCTACTCCATTCTGTGACTGAACAAAGGAACCCAACAAAGGAACAAAGGAAGATGAGACAGATCATTGGTCCATACAGCTCACAGTATTGTCTACACTGACTGGCAACAGCTCTCTCCAGGATTTCAAAATGGAGTCTTGCTCAGGTCAGCCTTCCTGGAGATGTTGGGGTTTGTGGGTTGTATCCCATGCTAGTCATACTCAGAGCAGAGCCAGTGATACTAATGGGCAAGGCAAACTTGTACAGTGGTACCTTGGGTTACAAACGCCTCAGGTTACTAACACTTCAGGTTACTAACACTTCGGGTTACAGACTCTGCTAACCAGGAAGTAGTACCTCGGGTTAAGAACTTTACCTCAGGATGAGAACAGAAATCGCACGGCAGCAGCAGGAGGCCCCATTAGCTAAAGTGGTACCTCAGGTTAAGAACAGTTACAGGTTAAGAACGGACCTCCGGAACAAATTAAGTTCATAACCAGAGGTACCACTGTACTCAGAAAGTGTGCACCAAAAGATCACACCATTTTTGGATACAAAGATTTCCTCAGGGATGCTTCCAAAGGCCTGTTTCCAAAATTGTTCCCCATTCCATAGATGATTTGGAGGCATGTAGTATCACTAAAGTACTATTGCTGATATTTTATTTTCTCTTTGAGCATAGTGTCATAGGTAGGCAGGGCGTTGGACTAGATGACCCTTGAGGTCCCTTACAACTTTACAACTTTACAATTCTATAATTCTATGATTCTATTATATTAATGGTAGATTGTTCCTGTTTGTTAGAAACAGAAGCATTATGAGAAACAGCAATATTATTGATCTTTTCCATCCTGCGCTACTATACTTCTTGACCTTCTGACTTCTTACAATTTATTTACAGCTTAATTTGAACCACAAATTGAAACAAAAATATTGCCTATGGCATTCAGGCAGCGTTTCCAGCTGGTTTTGTAGACCCAGATGGTTCAGATGAGAATCCATATGTCCGAGTGTTAATTCGGACTGGACAGACTATCTCTGAGGCTCTCAGGGCTCATCAGCCATTAAAAAAAACAACATGCCACTAATGTTCAATTAGTTCAATCACACTATAGATTTGCCAAGTCAAAGTTTAAAAATATGGGGCACTCCAGATATCTGGCATTTATTCTAGTCAATACAGCAATATAGTGCTCTGAATTAAGGGACACCAATAATGTTGTACAGAGCTGACATATTTTGAAGAAAAGGGCAATAATAAGGTATCATTTAAAATAAAGGAAATCTTCCATTAATCTCTTAGAAGACCTTTGTTTCCCCCCTTACATGGCTCCATATGTTCATGGAGCATAGCATTCTATCCTTTTCAGGCTATCACTCAAGTCCCACCATTATGGCTGTTGTGCATTTTCTTCACTATGATTCCTTAATTCCCGTGTGTGTGTGTGTGTGTGTGTGTGTGTGTGTGTGTGTGTGTAGGGGGGGATGTTTCAAAATCCAGCTGCTGCCATTTCATTATTTGGTAAAGTTTTTATTGGCATATGTGGATTTCAAGCAATATTTTAGGAGAGAAAATGTCTTATGTAACTAAAATAGCTAAAAAGGGAAACAGATTTTATTATTAATACTGAATTTTTTGGAGCATGAAACAAATGAAAGCCATCATGCATGACTCACCACGAGCTACTGTACATACCTTTTATTCATTGCTGCCTAAACATTATGTGACTGATTGCAGATAGTAAAGGGTTTCAAAAGAGACAAAATCCTAAAAAGAATGTAATGTAGCATTTGACCTCTATTTAAACGGGTTGTGTATATTGTCCTGGATGTTCAAGATAAAGGATTCAGCCTAGAACAACATGAAACTGATATATCCTATTCCAATAAAGAGTTACAAACCATCACACCTCAAATACTCATAAGCCTATAGATTAATGAGGCCTCTGCACAGTGAATCGTCTTCCTTCAGTCGTGAGTAAATTGTTCTATTCCTCATAAAACTGTTTAGCAGATTCTGCTGGCCATTCCCAACTCCATCATGCTTCCTTCCACCCATTTCATCTTTAATGATTTTTATGTAGACAGATTCAAATGCAACTAAGATACAAAGTAAATGACAAATAACCAAATAGTTCAGGCATTTCGCTGAGAACACTTATCAAAAGAGTACATCAGGTTCAAGAGCTTTGACGTCTCCACTTATGAGTCATGCTTATATAAATGAGTATTATTTATTTAGACCAGAATTTATATCCCATCTTTCTAAGCAAAATAGCAACTGAAAGTGACATACTTAGGTACTGGTGGGAGGAGGTACTGGTACTGGGAGGAGGTACAAGGAAATAAACAACTATCTGACTTTTAGAAGACATCTGAAGGCAGCCCTGTTTAGGGAAGTTTTTAATGTTTGATGTTTTATCGCTTTTTTATTATTAATAATATTCTGTTGGGAGAGTGGCTAGGGAAACCCAGCCAGATGGGCAGAATATAAATCTGTTGTTGTTGTTGTTGTTGTTGTTGTTGTTGTTGTTGTTAGATAATACCTTAAGGACTACCTGAAGCCTTTTGTCCAAGCTGGTTGTGATTATGTTGTGAAACGCCCAGCGATTTTCAGATGAAGTGTGGCATACAAATTTAATTAATTAATTAATTAATAATTGTACTTCATGTTACAAAAGTGTGACAGGCTTCAACTAGAAATTGGTCAGTTGGTGCCGCCAATAATAGCTCCTTGATGTAGAATGTTCTTCCAGCAGAAATTTTGCAGTCTTTAAAATGCAGGCTTTTTTCTCTTGTTCCCCACAGTAAAAGCAGGGGTTGAGGATGAAGAAGCGAATGATGCCCTGATAGCATCCAAGGGAACTGCAGTCTGACGACACTCTCAAATTTTTATTATATAGTAAGATATACCACCTTGAGATTTTATATGAGTTGGCAGTATATAAAAAATATAAATGGAGCACCTCCAGACAGATGTCCTTATTCCTGATCATCATATATCTAAGCTTTAAAGACAGAGAAGCTGAGGAGCGTAGAAGTAGAGAGGTTTGATTAGAAGCTGTTAAGACTAGATGAAAATAGTGGATCATCTAAAAAAACAAATGCTGACCTCTGAGTGATTACTGAGTCTTGAGGTGCATTTTGCCCCTTGAAAGGTCCACAGACATCATTTTTCCTCATGACTAAAAGCAGGAAGCTGCTAATTCAATCCCCTCGAGAGGAAGCCTTGCAGGTAACTAAAGACCAAAGTTGTGCGGGGCTTTATAATTAACGCCAACACCTTGGATCATGGCACAGTACTAATTAGCAACTGATCCAGCTGCACGTTTGGGATCTGTGAATGCATGGGATTCAGTTCTGTGTAACAATATTTGTTTTCCAGATGCTCTTTAACAATATCATGTGCAACTGATAATATCTGAAGGGCAGTTTAATTTTGAAAAATGAAGAAGTAGCTACTCCACTCCACGGGGGGGGGGGGGGAATGAGAAGGCCCGCCCCTTGGAGACTTAGGAATCTGAGGAATTCCTGAATGTTCTATGGGATTTTTCTAGCTTACATGGCTGGCACTCCTATCAACGCTTTCAACTTGCTATGGAATTCTGAGATGATGATGATGATGATTTATTAAATTTGTATATCGCCATCCATCTCTAGATCTCAGTCAAATTACAATATAAAAACTACAAAACAAGAAAATAAAAATAAAAACAACAACAACAACAACAACAACAAACCAATAGTCCCCCCCCCCAACACATTGAAAAGGGTATTGGATGCCAATTAGCCAAAGTCCTGGCTGATGCAAAAGGTAAAAAAAAAGTAAAGGACCCCTGGATGGTTAAATCCAGTCAAAGGCGACTATAGGATGCGGCACTTATCTCACTTCAGGCCGAAGGAGCTGGCACTTGTCCACAGACAGCTTTCAGGGTCATGTGGCCAGCATAACTAAACCACTTCTGGCACAATGGGACACTGTGACGAGTGCCAGAGTGCACAAAAACGCCATTTACCTTCCTGCCACAGTGGTACCTATTTATCTACTTGCACTGGTATGCTTTTGAACTGCTAGGTTGGCAGAAGCTGGGACAGAGCAACGGAAGGGCACCCCGTCGCGCGGATTCGAACCACCGACCTTCCAATCAGCAAGCCCAAGAGGATCAGTGGTTTAGACCACAGCGCCACCTTTACCTGCATAGAGCTAATTGACAGAATTGGTCCTCAGTGCCTTCATCGTCGCTGTGGAGCACACAGTCATCTTGGTACTCTTGTGAACTGTGTATGATGAAACAGGAGAATCAGATGCTAGAGTGCAAGTATTGTAAATCTTTATCCAAACCTGACTAAACATGGGTGAAGTTGCATTGCTGCGGTGGTGGCAGCAAATAAAGTTTACTTCTCCACTACCATTAGAGCTGAAAATAGACATCTGGCCAAGCTTTTCCAAGTGGTGAATGGGCTTTTGTCACCTGGCCAAGAGTTCATTGCTTTAACATCCTCAAAAGCCTACTGCAACTATTTTGTGGAGCACTTTAGGGACAAAATTACTCTGATTTGTATAGAGTTGGATGCCACAATTAGACCAAGTTCAATGCAAGTGTCCAGAGCACTGTCCCATCCATATTGGACCATTTTCAATTATTGCAGCCTGTGAATGTGGACAACCAGCTTCAAGAAATGCAGCCAACCACCTGCCCACCTTGATGCTCGCCCATCCTGACTTCTTGGAGCTAGCCATAGGGGGTCAACAATATGAGTCCAGGAAGTAATTGATGCTTCACTGGAGGAGGGCAAAGTACCACCTGCCTTGAAGGAGGTGTGTCTACTCCTTAAGAGGACTTCCCTGGACCCAGAAGGGTTAAACGACTATTCCCCAGTGAGGAATATCCCCTTGTGCATGATAGAGTAGTGACCAACTTCGGGCATGCTTGGAGAAAACTGAGTCTGGCTTCAGACCTGGCCATGGCACTGAAACCACCTTGGTCACCGTAACTGATGATATTTATGGGGTGAGAGGTGTGGGGAGTGCAACCCTGCTTGTTCTCCTTGATCGTTTTATCTCCTTCATCTCTTAATGTCTTTTGATACTGCTGAACCTTCAGCAGCTTCTCAGGGATGTGGGGGTTGTGGGCACTGTACTTCAGTGGTTCCACTCCTACTTCCAGGCTATTTCCAGAAAGTAGTTGTAGGAGGCACCATTCAATACAGTGGGAGCTTTCCTCTGGTGTCCTACGGGATTCCGTCTTGTCCCTCATAAAATCTGTATGAAAACTGGGAGCTGTCATCAGGAGATTTGGAATGAGGTGTCATCCATATGCAGATGACACCCAGCATTGTTCCATCTAAACTGGGGGAGGTTGTTGAGATGTTAGACCAGTGCTTGAAGGCAGTGGATGTAGGCCAATAAATTGAAGCTTAAAGACAGAGGCATTTTGTGTGGGCTTTCAAGTCTTGGAAGAAGCAGGAGCCTTGAAGAGCACCAGGACAACAGATTAAGCAGATTCATGGGTCATCTGATTACAGTCTTTCATAGTAGGGTGGGATATAATTTAAACAGAAATAAAAGACAATAATTATTTCTAAATTATATGCAATTTTACAGAAATTTGTATCCTATTTTTATCCCTTTTTTATTCCTTCCTCATTTTTGGCAATGTGTAAGTGGCCACTAAGGGACACGGGTGGCGCTGTGGGTTAAACCACAGTGCCTAGGACTTGCCGATCAGAAGGTCGGCGGTTCGAATCCCTGCGACGGCGTGAGCTCTTGTTGCTCTGTCCCTGCTCCTGCCCACCTAGCAGTTCGAAAGCACATCAAAGTGCAAGTAGATAAATAGGTACCGCTCCGGCGGGAAGGTAAACAGCGTTTCCGTGTGCTGCTCTGGTTCGCCAGAAGCGGCTTAGTCATGCTGGCCACATGACCCGGAAGCTGTCTGCGGACAAACACCGGCTCCCTTGGCCTATAGAGCGAGATGAGCACACAACCCCAGAGTCGGTCACGATTGGACCTAATGGTCAGGGGTCCCTTTACCTTTACCTTTAAGTGGCCACTAAGCAACCACTAGTAGCTAAGGCTACTAAGATTGACAAATCTGTCGATTTTGGTTTCCTCAGTTTCTCATGTCCCCCATCTTAAATTCCATTCCCCACATTTCTGCTGCAATTTGTGATTTTTTTTAAAATCCTCATGAAAATTCATCAGCATTTTAGTACAAATTTCTTCTACAAGACACAGTTTTAATGAATGCACACACTTTTTGCAACCAATTTCCCCTAATATAATAGATTCCTATATGTTATTTTCACTAATATATTCCATTCTATTCACACTTCCCCCAAATGTATGTATTTTTGTAAACATTGTATGGTTGGAGAACTGCACTGTAAAATTCAGGTGACTGCAAATTCCCAAGGGTACCTTAGTTTGCGCACTGTTTTGGAAAATGTAAACTTAGTCTGTTTGCTTTTAAATGCAAACTGAATCAAGGTTCTCTCCCATCCCTGGTGGCCACCCTACTTATTATTCAACAGTGGAGGAAGAATTGGTTTCATAATCAGGTCTACCAATATATTTTAAGCTTCTTTAATTCCTATTGTTGAGACCCTACCACTTTGTTATGCACAACTAGTAAGCTGACCTACCCATACAGATCTAACGCAGGACACAAATTAGGCTTAACACTATCCATGGCATCCTCTGTTGACCCTACATCATACAGAGATAGGGTTTTTTTCCATTTGTCTTTGGATGCAGAACGTGTGTAAAGGATAAAGATAAAGGGACCCCTGACCGTTAGGTCCAGTCATGGCCGACTCTGGGGTTGCGGCACTCATCTCCCTTTATTGGCCGAGGGAGCAGGCGTACAGTTTCCGGGTCATGTGGCCAGCATGACTAAGCCGCTTCTGGTGAACCAGAGCAGTGCACGGAAACACCGTTTACCTTCCTGCCGGAGCGGTACCTATTTATCTACTTGCACTCTCTGTGCGAAAATGCAAAAATGGCTTTTCACCTGTACTATTCTGCATTCTAAATCAGTAACAGCCATTCACAAATCACAGCACCTTCTCCCACCTATCTGTGTGTAAGAGTCTCTGTCTCGGGACACATTCATTTTGTAGCCAGCACAATTTTAGAGGCCCACTAACACACGATGAAGTCTGGATGAAGGAGCCAGACAGCAAAAACAGCAAAATGCTAAAACCCCACTGACTGGTTTGAGTCAATAAGACTGTTATTATCTCCCATTTGATCAAGGAAGAAATGCTTTATCTGCGAGTAAAAATTGTTTCAATAAAATTTTTACCAGGCAAAGGCATGAATGAACAGGTCCCGGGGAATGTAACTGATTATTAAACTCTTGCTGGACCCATCCAGTCATGAGATTTATAACAGCACTTGATTTCTTTTCTGTTCCTGCGATTTTGCTATTATTGCTGCTGTTCGTGATGAACAAGAATTTCGCTGCTGGTGGATTTATTAATGTACAGAGAAGCACAAGAAGACATAATACACGCTTATAGACATTATGCATCTGGAGAGCTAGGCAGAGCTAGGCAAATGAAGTATGTTATCTCGATGGAACCAATAACCAAGAATAAACTCCTTCTGATTTAACTAGACTTACCAGAACATTGCCTCAATGGATTGTCTTAAAAATAATGACACTCCCTTGTACTGTTGTACACGCATTAGATGTTCTGTCCACACACCCAGCCACCAAGGATGGCAATACTGTCAATGTGGAAAGACGTGGGGCAGGAGTCTGGGGCTGAATTCAGCAGAATGAATAGGGGAGTGCCCCAAAGTTGGTTTCCAACTGTTGAAAGTAAGCGACGTAATAGAGATAAGCATCTAAAGAGGGGGGATGGGGTGAAAGACCATCACAGCCTACAGTGAGCTCACCTAACCACCACTGAAGGTGAAAAGATGCCGGAAGGGCAATTATCGTAACCTGCTACAAACTGGTGCCCTCCCATTGCCTGTGACCATTAGCCCTGCTGGCTGGAGCTGATGGGAGTTGTAGCCCCAAAACTCTGGAGGAGACTAGTGTATCGTGCTGGGATTTGGTGACAGGGATTTGAGTTCACGTCCCTGCTCAGTTGTCACCCTTAAGTGTGTTGCTGGGATATAAAGGAGTGGCCCTAAGGTGCCCTGACCTCGGTGGATTAAAAGTGGGATAAACAAAAGCTGGATAGGCTACTGTAGTGTGTTGCGTATGTGGTTCTGCACGTGAATGTAGGGACGCGGGTGGTGCTGTGGTATAAACCACTGAGCCTCTTGGGCTTGCCATTGGAAGGTCGGCGATTCGAATCCCCGCAACGGGGTAAGCTCCCATTGCTCTGTCCCAGTTCCTGCCAACATAGCAGCTTGAAAGCACACCAGTGCAAGTAGATAAATAGGTACCACCGCAGCAGGAAGGTAAACGGCATTTTCATGCGCTCTGGCTTCTGTCACAGTGTTCCGTTGTGCCAGAAGCGGTTTAGTCATGCTGGCCACATGGCCTGGAAAGCTGTCTGTGGACAAGCGCCAGCTCCCTCGGCCTGAAGCGAGATGGGTGCCACAACCCCATAGTCGCCTTTGACTGGACTTAACCGTCCAGGGGTCCTTTACCTTTTTTACCTTTACCTTTACTGTACATGGTGACTGGCGGATGTAGGTGAGTTACTAGGAAGCTCTCTAAATTGCTGGTTATAGCAGATGAAGCCCATAATTGCCTTCCGTCTGCTTGATAAACTAAGAGTGCTGTCTGGATCAAAAGGCAGAGTATAACTAGAGAGGGAATGATTTTTTTAAAAAAATAAACTAACTACAACTTTCACATTCCACAATGACAGCCTGATCCTGTTCATGTTTACTCACAAGTATTATGGTGGAGGGAAGGGGTCTAGTTCTGCCCTGGGTTCAGTGGGACTTACTCCCATTGATGTGTACATAGGACTGCCATCTTAGGTAAGGCATGACGTACCAAATGTAGGATGCTGTAAATGCTTTATTTTTGAATCGGGTTTTATTCTGCGTTTGTTTTATTTATTACATTTAAATCCTACCTTTTGCCCAAGAAGCACTAGGTTCTTCCTGTTCATCCTTTTTAACCACACAGCTGTGTGAGGTAGTTTAGGCTGAGAGTCGGTGGCTGGCCCAGGGTTGCCCAGTGAGTTTGATGACTAACTGGGAACGTAGGGTTGTGATCAACTAATTCTACAATATTTCAAATAGGGGTCCTACCTGGAGATCTCAGATATCTGAACTCAGGACCTTCTACATGCAAAGCAGTTGCTGTACTGCTGAACTGCAGCCCTTCTAAACCCAACTCTCCTTACTTTTGGTCCAACACTCTAACCACTATAAGATGCTGCCTTTTAAAGTCCAGGTAAATACGGTAGACTACTCAGGTACTTCACATCAGTTGCGGTTTAATTGGGTTTTAATTGCATGTTATACATTTTCTGTCTGTTTAATCTGTTCCCAACTGCTCTAATCTTTTGATGAATGAGGGAAATCAGACAGATACATACACAGTACGTATCCTTAAACTCAAATAATTGGATTAAAAAGATCCATGTTCTTACACCAGAGTGCAAGTTACATCAGAATGCTACTTAAGAGTGCTCATTTCCCAGTTTCCAGGCATACCTAATACCCCTATGGGACGCGATTGATTTTTACACCAGAGAACAGTTGCTTGCTTATTAGAACTGAAGGAGAGTTCAGTTCACAAGGGGCTATGGCAGGCTCCAAGGAGAAGCACTGATGAATGCTCTCTGAGCTGTGCACTGGGTCTGACACATCTGTTTCCCTAACCTTGCAACACCTCTGCTCTGTCATCCTTGTACATGGGCTGGTACAAAGAACTGAACATGCAGAGAAACTGCATTATCTGAAAGGGGGAGGAGAGAACAGGACCTAGAGTTGAATCACATAGATCTCAACTGAAAGGACTGGTTTAATTGTTTACGTCAGAGGAAGTCTAAAATTATTATTATTTTATCGTTTATTAAATTTGTATGCTGCCCTACACCTGCAGGTCTCAGGGCAGTTACAACATAAAATCACAATATCAAAATATATAAAATCACAATATATAAACACAAAATACATAATAAAAATAAAAGCAAAAACAAACTCATAGCACCCCCCTCCCCAACACATTTAAAAAGGGCCTTAGAAGTCAATCAGTCGAAGGCCTGGATTCAGGTAGGTAGCCGTGTTGATCTGACGCAGTTGGAATAAAAAATTAAAAAATGTCCAGTAGCACCTTAAAGGTAAAGGGACCCGTGACTATTAGTTCCAGTCGTGACCGACTCTGGGGTTGCGGCGCTCATCTCACTTTACTGGCCGAGGGAGCCGGCATACAGCTTCCAGGTCATGTGGCCAGCATGACTAAGCCGCTTCTTGCAAACCAGAGCAGTGCACGGAAACGCCGTTTGCCTTCCCACCTATTTATCTACTTGCACTTTGACATGCTTTCGAACTGCTAGGTTGGCAGGAGCAGGGACCGAGCTCACCCCATCGCGGGGATTCGAACCGCCAACCTTCTGATCGGCAAGTCCTAGGCTCTGTGGTTTAAACCACAGCACCACCTGAGACCAACTAAGTTTGTTCTGGTTATAAGCTTTCGTGTGCATGCACACTTCTTCAGATACCAAAGGCCTGTCAAAGTCAAAGGCCTGGTTAAAGAGGAACGTTTTTGCCTGGCGCCTAAAGGCATATAATGAACCTCTCTGGGGTGAGCCTCTCTGGGGAAAGCATTCCACAAGCAGGGAGCCACTGCAGAAAAGGCCCATTCTCGTGTTGCCATCCTCCAGACCTCTCATGGAGGAGGCACATGAAGAAGGGCCTCAGAAGATGATCTCATGGTCTGAGTAGGTTCATATGGAAAGAGTTATTGTGGTCCTGAGACATTCAAGGCTTGATAGGTCAAAGCCAGCACTTTGAACAGGACAAGTTTTACATTGTCCTCATTGCAGAGAAGCATGAGGAAAACGTTTAAAAGATTTTGTCATTAGTCCACACAGCAGAGTTGCAGTATCATTTAAGAATTGACCTTAACTCATATTTCACTTTTTAAACATATGTAAGCAGGAAAGGTTGTTCCAGCAGCTGCTGGTTTTATGTTTCTCTTGGAACTGGTGGTCTAGAACTGCTTTGCTCTTTGTGAACCTCGGACACAATTTGGTATATTGAAGAAATTATGTCAGGCAGTATCTAACAGCTGTCTCCCAGCTGATGGACCTTTGGGACTCGTCCCCCGCCCCATACCACTTTCTGTGCTGTTCCAAAGAGCCCCCCCCCCCCCCCGCAACTCTCTGTAGCAGATTTGTGGAAGTACAGGGCAGAGGAGGAATCACTGGAGACTGGTTCTACCCCTCTATGGGTAAAAAGAAGGTGCTGAAGGATCAAAGAGTTATCTGCCAGCAGAGAGACACCAATTAAATATACAACTCTAAAGTCCCATTGAAATTTATGTGAAAAATTGGTTTCAATGGAACTAAGGACAGCTAACTTAGTCTGATAGACAAATAATCCAGACTAATTAATCTGTCCTTAATTAGGTGTGGGTGTGGGTGTGTTAAACCCTATCTTGAGTTCAGTTTTTACTGTTTGTTACTAATGCGGACTTGTACTAGCCTGTGAAATTAAAATGAAAGAAAAGGAATCCTTTAAAACAGCTAAAGACAAGCCCTTTTTGGAATTTTTTTTTATTTTGGACATGGACAGGAGATTAGTTCATCCAAAAATTACTCCCAAAATATACTTTTTTATTTAGGATAAAATAAGTTTAGAAATGTGTGCTTGGTGAGGGGAAAATACATTCAAAAATTATTTTTGATGGACTTGTAAAAATTCAAATTAATGCAGAAATGGGATAGAATGGACTTATGAATAGACACACAAAAGAGAGATGGACCATGAATACAACGATCCTTGCATTTCTAACAGTTTCCATTTTATGACTGGATTTGTAAAATGGAATTCTTTAGGCAATTTTTAAAATGTGTAATAAATATACAAATATTATTTCCTATGTATGTTTTTTATAAGGCCCTCAAAACACTATAGTTCAGTTCTTAGACTTTTGTCTTTCCTCCCTCTTCTAAGGACAGCAGCTGTGGCAAAGACTTAAATACAGTTTCTAAAGACATACACAGCAAAGAGTTTTACTGTGTCAAACTTCAGGAAGTGAGTAAAGGAGGTGTAAATGAAAAGAAAGAGCTAAAGAATGAGATTGCTAAAGCTGATACCATGAAGTGTAACATAAAATCAGAGAAGGCAGAGCAGGTGAGGACTTTGAAATGCAGCCTTCACAATAGTGTCACCTACAGTTGAGAATCCCACAGGAAAAGAAAGCAGAACACCGCAATGCGAGGGTGTGCTAAATATACACTTAACAGGCACACTGCAACCACTACAAGAGGGCAGACTGAAGAAGCTGTTTAGGCAAAATCGTTTTTTAAGCAGCAGTACCAGATAAATACACAAACCTTGCAGAGTAAGTATGTCATTACTTCCTTTTAGTAAACAACCAGCTGGGATTGCCAACTTCTCGCTTTCAGTCTCAAACAACAACAGTACATTTTGTGACTATTGGGCCTTGTGTGTTGCTTGATTTTTGAATGCTAGCAACTGATTACAAGTAGGGAACCAGGAAGTGAATATTTTGCTTTCTGAAAACGTGTTCCTCTGTGTCGTATCACACTTCATAATAAGAATACCCATAATGACTTGTCCCTAGAAGTTGTAAAAGTACAGTGGTACTCGGGTTAAGAACTTAATTCGTTCTGGAGGGCCATTCTTAACCTGAAACTGTTCTTAACCTGAGGTACCACTTTAGCTAATGGGGCCTCCCGCTGCCGCCGCGCTGCCACCGCACGATTTCTGTTCTCATCCTGAAGCAAAGTTCTTAATCCGAGGTACTATTTCTGGGTTAGCGGAGTCTGTAACCTGAAGCGTATGTAACCGGAAGCGTATGTAACCTGAGGTACCACTGTAAGATCAATGTTCTTCCTTTATTCCGGTGCTTCCGGGTTTCGGCAGTCTGTAACCCAAAAAAACGCAACCTGAAGTGTCTATAATCCGAGGTATGACTGTACTGCTGTGGCAAGAAGGTAAACGGCATTTCCGTGCACTCTGGTTTCCATCACGATGTCCCATTGTGCCAGAAGTGGTTTAGTCATGCTGGCCACATGTCCTGGAAAGCTGTCTGTGGACAAACGCCAGCTCTCTCGGCCTGAAAAGCAAGATGAGCGCTGCACCCCAGAGTCGCCTTTGACTGCACTTAACCGTCCAGGGGTCCTTTACCTTTTTTACCTTTTAACGTTAGAAATTAGAAATTCTGGTAGGCCTTTCCTGTCGCCTCAGGACTTCTCAAACGCTATGACAGCATGACATACTTACTCCCATTCACAGCTGGCTTCTTTCTGCAAAAAAATGGATGAGGGATTAGTTGTGGTTAATTACAGGAGTAATGCTCTTCTTGTCTTTCTCCCTAGAGACAGTAAGGACCTTACCTGTTGCAGATGCAAGTAAGCAGGTAATGCTGCGTTGGTTAAAAGAAAAGGTTAACTTCGCGGAGAAAAAAGGTACTGATATAAGTAAAAAAAAAAACCTACTCCTTTTCCCTTATGGGGTACCCCAAGAGCCCACATAGAGTCCTTTTGTAGGTTCTCTCTCGGTAGGAGAAAATAACGGAGACCAACCAGAGAATATTGAGAAGCAAAGCAGCTAGTAAGCCTGATCTTTATTAAATGTTGCAACAGGGTACTCCCCCACATGCAGGAGAGAGGAGGGGGACCCAGAGCCATGCGTGCAAGCCCTTAAATAGACATTTAAAATTGGCCGCCCTGGAGTCCAAGACCATCCCCAGAAACATCATACATACATCACAGAAGGGGTGGTCTACAACAGAAATCTGAGTGCGTTGTTTATCTCGTGTCTGGCAAGTTACCTGATTGCATTATCTGGTTTTTGGCCACTCTTTTGTTATTATAACTTAATTCCTGAATCTAGGTCACAGGCTCACACCCTGTTCATATCTTGAATGTGCCCTTAAAGACAGGATTTGTGAGGAAAGAGACAATGGGGAGGTTTCCCACTTTGACCTTGCAGAGAAATATTTGAGGTCAATTTGTTCAGGATCTAATCTGTGGGGTTTCAAACATGTGGTTTATATATACAGTTATGAACATTTATTATATATATATATATGTTGTTGTTGTTTAGTCGTTTAGTCGTGTCCGACTCTTCGTGACCCCATGGACCAGAGCACGCCAGGCACTCCTGTCTTCCACTGCCTCCCGCAGTTTGGTCATATATATATGACCTTAAAATTCTTATAACAGTACAAATGATGAGTTTGTGCAAGTTTGCATTTTCTTCATGCTAAAGAAGAAAATAAATGGGGAAGCATGTGAAAGTGGATGTTTGCCTGGAATCAGTGATAGGAACATAGGCTTACACTGAGTCAAACCATTGACTGGCAGCAATTATCCAGGATTTTAGGGCCCTACCTGAAGAAGAAGAGAAGAAGAAGAGTTTGGATTTGATATCCCGCTTTATCACTACCCTAAGGAGTCTCAAAGCGGCTAACATTCTCCTTTCCCTTCCTCCCCCACAACAAACACTCTGTGAGGTGAGTGGGGCTGAGAGACTTCAGAGAAGTGTGACTAGCCCAAGGTCACCCAGCAGCTGCATGTGGAGGAGCGGAGACGCGAACCCGGTTCCCCAGATTACGAGTCCACCGCTCTTAACCACTACACCACACTGGCTCTACCTAAAGATGCTGGGGATTGAATATGGGAACTTTTGCATGCAAAGCAGATGCCCTATGGCCCTTCCCCTATGATAATCTTCCCCTATCCTGACCAGTCCAAGGTTATGTGGCTAGATTGTTTACATGTTCAAAGAGATGGGGTTCAAGCCGTTCTGGATGAGGTTGCATTTCCCCTGAAAAATCAGGGGTTGTAGTTGAGGGGAGGGCACAACAATTCTATTCCACACAATGCAGCTGGACCGGGCCCTACCGTGAGACATAGTAAGGCAGCTGCCAGGTGGCACATATTGAGGGGTAGCAGGTAAGTGAGAGCTCTGTGTGTGTGTGTGCCATGCAGCCTCTCCTACACCCACTAAACTAGGCCATTGCCCTCAGGGTGCAATGGAGGCTTTTGCATGTGGAACTAGACTGGGAGGAGGCAACTTCTTGCCCTTTGCTTCAGGCGGCAGAACCCCTTGGGCTGGGTCTGAAGATTGAAGTTGCAACTTCAGCTCCAGCTATAGAAGAGAAGTTACTTTGCTGTCCCTGACATATGAAGGACATCAAGAACAATTAATACTCATGCTTGAAGATGATTACTGTATTTAGAGATCAAAATAATAATAAAATTTGAATGCCAAAGAAAGCTTTTTATTACGGAGAGTTCTTTAATCTCTTACCAAACTGCACGTAAGGTGTTAATAGTGCTAAAATGAAATAGTGCCTAAAACAAAAACTAGTCATTTTTCTCACAGTTCAAAGATATTTGATTAAGATGTATCATCTTTTCCAAATATTTACTTTGCTGCAATTGAAGAAGCTGAAGATTATGTGAGATGGGACTGAACTCTAATCTTCCACACTTGTCTTTGAATCTCTTCCTTCTCCTCTGGTTCGCTTTTGGAAGGATGAAGGGAATTAAAAAAAAAAATCACCCCTCAGTAAGGTCTAGGGTATGCTTCAGACAGAAAGAACTGAATTCTACCTTTAAAATTCAATTACATCATGATTAAAAAAAGAGGGGGAAATCTCGCATTCATGGGCTCATTATAGGCACAAAAAGGGGATGTTCACAGAGGCCATAGAGAATTTAAAAGATTTATTTATGATGTATTACTGTAATTTTTAATTTAGACATGCAAATTTTTTAATTTGCACTGACTGCTTTGCCTTAATGGTTTTGATTAATACTTGGAGGTAGTGTTTGTGAAAGAGATTTATACTGTGATTCATCTGCAAAATAATCAAATCATTACCAGCTAATGACAAAGCTGTGAAAAATGATATAGATATTGTGTAACTCCCAGCTATGGTGGTTCATGCGAACACACCCCGATCCTTCCAGCAAACATGGACTTGTGTTAATAACTGCTGGGAAGTTCGCTCTAGGTCCACTCTAATTTGGCAACAAAAAAATTGATCTTAATAAAGCTGTCTGATAAAAGGAGTTGTGATTAACATCCCTGAACCCTCCATGCGACTAAGCATGCCAACACACTTCCCTCCTTCTCTCCCCTCAAGGAATAAGATTCCAGAGCATCACTTGCTTCTGTTGCTATCTCACCTCAGCCTTTGTGAAACAGAAGGTCTTATAATAAAGGAATCTACATTAAGGATTAGATGGTGTCCATTTTCGTTTTAGAAAAAAAGATCTTTGGCCTATAGCAATCCAGGCCTCAACTCCGCCCCCTCCTTCCTGCTTTCCCCTGTTATTTTATATTTCCTGTCATCTTTTATTAATGTCTTCCAAGGTTGCATTCAAGGGACACGGCGCTGTGGTCTAAACCACAGAGCCTAGGGCTTGCTAATCAGAAGGTTGGCGGTTCAAATCCCCGCGACGGGGTGAGCTCGGTCCCTGCTCCTGCCAACCTAGAAGTTCGAAAGCACATCAAAGTGCAAGTAGATAAATAGGTACTGCTCCGGCGGGAAGATAAACAGTGCTTCCATGCGCTGCTCTGGTTCGCCAGAAGCGGCTTAGTCAAGCTGGCCACATGACCCAGAAGCTGTACGCCGGCTCCCTCACCTCTTTTTCTATAAAAATAGCACTGACAGAAACAAATAAAAGACAGAAGTATATATGGGCACAAAGGTTGGGGGAGTGGCACACTCGTGGATGTGAATGAAACTTGGCACAATATGGTGGTATATCAGTCAAAAGTCACAGTTTCAGGACAAAAGAAGCATTGTGTCCTGTGGCACCATGACATTGCCTGCATCACTGCAGTATCCATTAACACATGTCCATGCCCCCCTTGTATATAGAACTAGGCATAGCAGGGTTCCCCCAAATATATATATCTATATCAGAAACTAACTTATGGGTCAAGATTTTTGTCCACCATGTCCAGTATTACTTAGTCTGACTCAGCAGATTTTCAGTGTTTACCTGTTGCTACCTGATGAGATGTCAGGGAATCGAACAGGGACTTTTCTATATGCAAGGCCTGAGTGCTCCAACTGAACCCAGGATGTGGATTTAACCACTGAATCAAATTCCATCTCAAAAACAGCTTCATGTGAATTTGGAAGT